CAGACCCAGGTGGGTAGCTGCCCCGAGTTTCCTTGGCAAGCTCGTTATATGATTGTAAAGATGAATGGGCAGAATATTCATTGGTGGGGAGGAGTTTGGGGTCATCTTTCCTGATCTTCATCCCAGTTCCACTTTCCCGGGTGGGGAGGAGGGATTTTTCATCCTTATTTAGTTCTTGATCAGGAAGTTGGATGAGGTCATAATGAACAGAAGGTTGCATTCAGATCAGGGTATCATAAGCAAAAGGTTACATTTGGACGGAGGTTACAATGATCGAAAGGTTACATTCAGATGGTGACGATTCCTGTACTGTCCTGTCCCACATGCCTAGCCGCCTCCAGGACACTTATCAACCCGGGGGTGTCTTTTTATTAGTCTAGAGGATCCTATTTTCTTGGTCTGTCCCAAGACCCCTGCTGTTTACAAGATGCATGGTTTTCTGCCATTTGTCCATGTCCCCCTTTCTCTGCTCATATCTACCTACCTTCCCGCTCTAACAGAACCAGTGGTGCTTAAGTCTATGCCCCTCACTGTTTCATAGAATAACAGGGAAAAACGAGAAAGACAATCAAAACTACGCATGAATGACACACTCCATGTACTTAAAGATAGAGTATCACTTCATTTAAAAGTAACTGTAGCCAAAACAGAAATAACAAAAAATAAGAAAAAAAATCACAAAATGATTTCTTTTGTTCCTGTTATGTCACAAGTCTCAGAGGTCACGCAAGAGCAGTCTAAGAAAAAGTGCAGGGAAGAAAGAAGAAGGGAGGTGGTGACAGGACTAAAGTTGAGCCAAAAACACTGCTAGAAAAATTGTAGCCATTCTAAGTCAGAAAATCCTAACCATGTGTGCCTTGGTAGACCAGAGCATGAATGGTAGAGAAGGAATTTACAAGTATGTACTATTTGAAATGACAGCCCTGCACAACTTCTGCGGGGGGAAAAAAAAAAAAAAGGACAAAAGTGAGGGAGAAGGAAATTTGGTGTTTAGGTGAAAAGAGAAAAAGCAAAAAAGAAAAACATCAAATCTTTCCTCAACCATACCACACACAGAGAGACAAAAATTCATTGAAGAATCTAAACTTTGAAGCACTGGCAGAAAAATAAGCCATTATAAACATTAATCTTGTAAACCACCCCGGATCTGCAGAATGAGAAGAAGAAACTGAATAAATCTAGTCAAAATTGCCATCGAATGACAGAAGATATAATTTAGCATATTTTGACTGGAAAAATGATTTTTTGCCTGTAGAAAAATAAAGTAAAATAAAATTGTAGGACTAGACGGCAGACTGGACTACCCCTCTGAATCAGAATGGAAGTGGACCAGAAACAAACAAAAGTCAGGAAGCAATAAAAAGGGTTGATTGTACTCAGGAACAAAATAGAAGAAAATACAAAAGTATTTCTCAACTGGACTCTGAAAGAAAGGCAGAAGAATAACTAACAAAATGAAAACAAGATAAGAAAATAAGTAAAAAAAGAGAAAAAAGCCAAAGTGAAAATGGAAGGCAGATAAAAGTGGAAAAATATAGTTATTAATCAGAGTCCCTGAAAAAGAAAACTAAGCAATAGAG